CAGGGTTGCCAGACCGTACCATAATTATGTAAACGTACCATAATTTTTACTCTCGTACCATGTAGAATTTTTGCGTACCATAATCCATAAAAATACCATAATTTCATCAGCGTACCATAAATTTTATGTATTTCACCATACATAGATATGTATGTCTTTCTACGCTCGAATAGAACGTGCGCGGATGCGGGGTACGCGGGAGTTTTTCAGCGACGGCAGTAGTGTGCACCAGTGCGAACTGAGTGTAGCATTCGCGTTTGAGTTTCGCGGCAGAGAGAAACCTGAGAGCGGCCATGGCGGCCTTTTTCCTGTAATGCTTCTCACTAACGGCACCAACGTCCATTGTCGAACTGCGGGAACTACGTACCACGAGAGCGAGCGAGACAACGAGACTCGCTGTCTCGCTCGCTCTCGTGGTACGTAGTTCCCGCAGCTCGAAAATGGACGTTGGTGCCGCTAGTGAAAAGCATTACAGGAAAAAGGCCGCCATTGCCGCTCTCAGGTTTCTCTCTGGTGTAACCATGAATAAAAGGCGCCGTTCGGAAACGCCAGAACGTACAAGAAAAGTTCGAGGGGACTCTTCAGTGAAAAATAAAAAGCGGTTGCAGAAATATAGAGTGGAATGGCAAAACAATCCTTCGAGAAGTCTCTGGTTACGACCAATTTCCGAGAAACCGTCACGAGCAAAATGCATTTTGTGCAATGCAGAATTTACAGCGGATATCTCAGTGATTAGTAATCATGTCAATGGAAAAAGTCACGTCACTGCTGCACGAGGTATTGATAAATTAAATACGTCGCTTTCAACTTATAAAAATTATAACAGTAACGAATATCACATAGAAGCACGTGTTTGTAGTGCTTGCATTAGTAAAGTAGTGATTATTATTTTATCGACCTAGTGAATCGTAATGTAACTGATTCGTAATTTTTTATTTATACGTAAGATTGGGAAAAATCATTGTTAATTTAATTTAATTTTGGTTTTAATATTATTGTTTAGTTAAAAATGTATGTTATAATATTATAAATGTTTATAGCTGTTGGAAAAACGTCAATTCCTGAAGTTCTGAGAAGTATTGAAAACCAAAATAATAAGAAAGTGCAAAAAGATAGAGATCTCAAAGAAGGCGAGATAAAGTTATGCGGTTTTATTGCGGAGTGCAAGTTACCTTATTCAACATCTGATCGTCTTTACGGTGTAATGAGATCTGTTTGTAAGGATTCAGAAATTGCAAAATCTATCAAACTTGGTAGAATAAAAGCTATAGGAATAATAAAAAATGTAATTGGAAAAACGTATACCGATGAATTGGCTTGTGTCTTTAAATTTTCAAAATTCAGTGTCATAATAGATGAATCGACTGACATTGGCACATCGAAAAATATGGCGATTTGCGTTCGCCTTTTTAATGAGAGAAAAAAGTCTATTGAAAGTAAATTTTGGCAACTGGTAAATGTATTTAATAAGGACGATTTTGAGGCAGCTCAAATAGGAGCTACAGCACAAAGATTATATGACAGTTTAATCGAAACATTTCAAGCAGAAAATGTTCCAACTGATAACATTATTGGTTTTGGCAGTGACGGATGCAACGCAATGTTTGGCAAGCATAATGGTGTTGCTGTAAAAATGCAGCAGTTATTACCTGGTGTAATTGTGGTGAAATGTATTTGTCATTCCTTGGACATATGTTCTAGTAAAGGTTGCGAAAAATTACCAAGACGTTGCGAGGATCTGGCAAGGAATGTTTACAGCTTTTTTAAACATAGCAGCAAAAGACAAGCTCAATTTAATGAATTTCAGGCCTTTTTTGAAATTGAACCACATAAAATTTTATTCATTGCACAGACTCGATGGTTGTCACTTTTACAGGTAATTTTTAAATATCTTAATGTGCTTTTATTCATTTAACTTGAGGTTTCTTTATATTTATATATTGCATTTTTTGGAAATATGTTTTTAGGTAGTTAAGCGACTTTTGGAACAATGGGTAGCTCTTCAGGCTTTTTTCACTTCAAAGTGGTATGAAGAAAAATTAGTCGCAGCTGAGTGCATTTACCATGATCTTCATGACCGAAAAATAAAAATGTTCTATTATTTCTTAGAATGGGTTCTGCCCAAAATCGTAGGTGTTAACGAATATTTTCAGTCTGAAAAAATTGTCATTACGGATGTGCACCAAAAAATGAAAAGTTTATACTTGAAGCTGCTTTTGGCTTATATGAGTCGTAACAAAATTAGCAGAATCAGTCTCGAAAACATTAATCCAAGCGATGATTCTCTTTTTGTGCGTCTCGAACAGATGTACCTTGGTATAAATATTAGGCGGGAAATTGACAATGCAAATATTACTAAAGAAAATTTAACAGATTTTTTTTATCGTTGCCGTAATTTTTTAATTACAGTATGCCAGGAAATTAAATCGCGTTATGATTTAAGTGAAAAAAATATTTTCTCAAAAGTATCTTGGTTGAATCCTAAGGTAGCGTTCTCCACTGATGATACACGTCCAAGTAGCATTGAACCGCTTATACAGATAGTTCCACGTATAGTGCCGCCTGAAAATTTGAATTTAATCCAAACTATAGATGATCAGTGGAGAATGTTACCTTATGATTCAGCATTAAGAGAATTTGTTACTGTACAGTCTAACATCAGTAATATTGATACGATTTGGTGCGAAGTTAGAGACTTAAAAACTTCATCAAATGAACAAAGTTACAAAGAAATAGGACAATTCGCTTTAGATGTCTTGGTACTGCCTCATTCAAGTGCCGATTGTGAGCGCATCTTTTCAAAAATAAATC